ACAGATGCAGTTTGCAGATGCCTGGTCCATGCACAAGTCTGCCCCACCTGGAAGCTGCACCTGCACCGGTGTCACTTTTCCCAGCCCCCTGCTCCCTGGGTGCATCTTCCAGCTGGTGGGGACCTGAGCTGGGGCAGAGCAGCTTCCAGCTGTGCCCACTTTGCTGTGGGAGTTGGGGGGTGGGGGAGAGGGGGAGGGAGGAGAAGCAGCAACAAAGATGCAGTTTGCAGATGTCTAGCTCCAGTGCAAGTCCCCATCAGTGGGAAGCTGCATGCACGCTGCAGCCAGGAAGGGCCAGGGGCTGGGAGAAGTAGCAGCAGCATAAGACATGGTCCCAGCTGCATGTCCCAAGCATGGGTGTGGGGAAAGCTCTCTGCTGCTGACACTCCATGGAAGTCACTCAGCCCATGGTCAGACCACAGCCAGGTTGTTCCATCCTGCAGCTTGTTAATAAGTTGCTGGCCCCTGTAGTAAAGTACCCTCAAACTCTAGTACAGAGAAGAGGCAAAACATTTCTACAAAGAACGGGGATAGGACTTAGGTTGTAAATTCTCTGTAAACTTTGTAAAGCACAAACTTTGTTCTGTGCTTGTGCAGTCCCATGCAAAGTGGGTTCTTGTTGTGTGACTGGCATTTCCAGGTGTATCTATGCTAGAAATAATAAAGGAAACAGGCTGCACTATAATCTTTGCTCATAAGCCATTACAACAATTACAATTCAAGAAGAATAATCTGTCATTTGCTGCTATTCAAATATTTTGATTTCTCCTCAATCGTTAGTGATAGCTTTACCTTTTAGTGATCAGAGATAAAAAAAAGTATATACAAGGGAGAACCCATGCATAATGAATCTTTATCCTGGAAGATCCTGGACCAGGTTCTAACTCTTCAAAAATCACAGCAAACTCAAAAGCCTTGACCCCAGCTAGATAATTTGAGACCATCAAGTTTTATAAACAAGTCACTACAAATCTAGCACCTGAATGTCAGGGATGGTCTAAAATACTAGAGTATTGCAATCTTTCCAAAATAACATCTTTGCATGGTTGGTTTCCCATACCTGATCAACAAGCTCTTCTTCTTGATCAATAGCCATTTTTTGAGGTGGCCCATACAAGAAAAACACACTGACAACTGCCTTAGCAATTTCAGCTGCTGAGATGTCAGCCAGTGGAAGAACCACAAGCCATTTTGTGAACAAGTCTGTTATGATTATGACATACACATGGCTTCTGCTGGTGGCATCAAAAGGTCCCATTAGGTCTATAGTAACTGCTGTCCATGGCTCCTCTGCTTTGATAGGGTGCAATATGGGTGATGTAACAGCTGTGTTCTTTGCCACCTGGCAAAGCTGACAAGCATACACCTGGGAAGAAAAACAATATAGAGAGAGGTTAATAAAAAGTGACAGACACAGAGTTAATATGATCAATAGAATAAAAATAGAAATATCTATTATTTTAATGAGGCCCTGGAGATAACCATGTCAGTCATGCACCATCAAATTACATTCATTCACACTTCTCCAACCTAGTATTATTTAATTTCTGAACCAGATCTTTAGCTAAAGAAAGAAAACACATTTTGCATATTGGGGGTAGATGAAGCAGTTTACAGCTCAACCTTTAACTTCCTGATCCTGAGAGAGGGTCCCCTCACTCCCACCTTTACTAAGGTGCTTAGGTACTGCCAGGTGGATGGACCCATCTACTTCTGGCTCCATCCTTTCAGAACTACAAATGAAAGAAACCAAGAACTTGTCTGTTGTAATTTGGTCACCAAAGAGACCAAAAAGAAAGTTTGTGCTGAACAGGAGGACCAGTCAAATGAAACAAAGAGCTAAATAAATTAATGTAACATAAATTATTTAAGTGGACTCAGAAAAATCTTAAAAATTACTGGCAAAGTCTGGAAGGGGACCTGAGATGGCCTCGGGGAGACTTCCACAAAGACTAGTGAGATGGTCCCAAGGAAGTTTCTGCAAAAAAAATGTTGAATTTCTGCGAATTGCCCTAAAATTCTGACAGGTGACCCTGAACAAGTTAGGAATAGCAGGTAAATTGGAAAGAGGGGTTCTGGGGAGATTATAAAATGGTGAAGTCCTTAACTGCGGACAGAGTGAGGGTTATCTATGTCCCACCACAGGAACATTGCAGTTCGATGATATAAATTAAAAAAGAGAGTTCTCCATCTGCTAATGCCACTGAAGGAATTAACCTGTGGAGACCACCAGAGGACAGGAGCTGGTATGACATGTCTTGGTGTGGAACTAACTTGCATTGTATCTTAAGCTTATTCTTCATCTTTAGTCCTACTTTGGCAGCACAGAAGTGAGGTACATGGAAAAGATGATGTTAGCTTTATGCTGTTTGCGGTAACATGGTACAGACCAAGATTAAGTCTATATTAAAAGCAGAGACTTTTTTTTTAAAACACCTAATCTGTAAGATGCATCACATTCTTCAGGAACTGAAAGTCCTAACAGTAACAAATATTTGGCTACACTGAACATTCGGGTGTAGCTGTACAAATGCAAATCTCGTCTCAGGACCAGATTTTATCTGGTGCTTATGTGAATGGGGGGCAAGGACTTTTTCCAGCCATCTGACCTGTATCAGAGGGATACCTAAAACCAAAGAGAGACAAGGATTGGTGGACACAGCTTCAGTCCTTACCCATGCTCTAATGACCTGTATGTAGTAGGCTATACCCCATAAAAGGACATAGCAGGAACCTTGCATATGTGAGCATCAGGAGGCATTTTGGGTTGCTAAGGCTGGAGGAGCACCAGGGAGCATTCAAACATAGTATAGCTCCTTATCATTTATTAGAAAGATCCCAGCACTCATTCGGGGTCGGACTTGATGATCTGTTCAGGTCCCTACCGACCCTAGAAACTATGAAACTAACTATGAACTATGAATGGTCTGAGATTTATTGAACTACAGTTAACAAAAGGAGAAACAGCAATTAATGCACATTTATGAGAAAGCCACTGATGCTAGGATCTAGATTGGAGTTGGCAAAATACTGCCCATGGGCTCAATCTGGCCCACCAACAGATTTTATCCAGCCCAAGGCAGGTCCCTTGGGCCTGCCTGACCCAGATGCAGGGGGCAACCCAGGCCGTGGCATGTGCAACTGGTCCCGACATTCCTGGGCATGCAGTGGGGCTGGAGCAGTACAGCAGCTGGACTTTGCTTCTTGGCAGCCCCAGCGGTGGTGGCTCCTGGCTGCTACTGCAAGAGTTACCACCACTGTCAAACTCAACCCTACTGCCCAAGCACCCTGACTTTTCTGCCCCACACCCACTGCCAGGGGTGTTGAATGGAGAAGGTAGGTTAGGTCTCCATGGAGACTGGCTCAGGATCCTCTTGGGCAGGGTGCACTTGACTGGGCAGGTGGGATGGGGCCGTGGGTGGGCAGGGAGCGGCTCTCAGGAGTGGGACAGGCAGACAGGGCCTGGATCATGGGGCAGCGATAGTGTGGGGCTGTGATCTGCTCCCTGCATGCCCCTGCCCTGCACTGTCACAGCCCCACAATCCCAGCCCAGGCTCTGCCCACCCATCCCGCTCCCCACCTGCCCACAGCCCCATTCTATCTGCCCAGCATCATGTGCCCTGCTCATGTGGGTCCCAGGCCAGTCTCCATGGAACCCCAAGATCGGCAGGTGGTGACTGCGTGGGGCCAGGCCCTAGGGAAGAGCCACTTAGGGAGCTTTGAGCTGTTGCAGGCTTCAGGGGGAAAGGGGTGCTGTCCCAGCCCAGTGCAGTGTGGCGGGTGATGACCTGGCCCATGACAGCTCACCAAAACTCCGAAAGTGTCTCTCTAGCCCAAATAATTCCCCACCCCTGATCTAGGTCTACATGGGACAAGGCAGCTCTGTGCATACTACCTCGTAAACCAGAAGCAGTGTAGCCATGTGGTCTTCTGAAGGGTGGTTCTTGCACGCGCATACACGACAGCACCGTAACATGGCTACAGTGCTTGCTAATCAGGGGTGGTATATCCTTAAAGTTTGTACCTCCCGACTTGTTACTATATGACTGCAATGGTGTTAACTTAAAAAGTCTAGAGCCATATATTCACTTTGCTGAATAAGGGTTTTATAGCTACAAAGAGCTCAGCCAAAATCATGAGGATCTAGCCCAGTGACTAAGTTTTTCCCTAGTATCAATGTTTAATTTGTTTCTAGCTTTCTAACAAAATTCCCTGCTCCCCTATCAGCCCCTTAGTGATACGGGCTGGAATTATCAGAAGTCCCTCGGTGACTTAAGAACAGGAGTCTCACCAAAAACATATGGAGCTTAGGTAGATTTGTCAGAAGTACCCAGGAACATAAGTCTCATTAAATGACAAGAGATTTTACGTACTTAAGTCTCTTAGGTATGTCGACACAACAGTGGTAGCATGACATTGCCAAGATGCTACTGAACAGACTCTGCCTACCACTTCAGCTTGCATGCTCTAAATCTTGAAATATGCTGGTGGAGACATTCTAGAATTTTCCTCTATGGCCACTCTTGAAAGTCTCTGAAGTGGCTGAGAGCCACCATCTGGAATAACCATATTGGCATATTTCTGGGTTTGGAATATGTGACCAGGAGAGGGTGGACAAGGGCATATTTATTACACCCCAGCTGGGATATGCTGCTGCCACTACTGTGTGGACATGTCATTTGGGGGAAGAAAGGGGAGAATTATAATACACTTTATTTTAAGCAAAATATCTTTTCAGATACTTGGGCAATTCATGTAAGAGAAAAAAAAATATCTTGTAAAAGAATCCTACAAAGTAATCAGACGTATTGCAAACAAATTTAGCACAGAGACTGGATGAAAAAAACAAAACAAAACTCTATAGCTATGACTCATACCCACTGTTTGACATCATTTGTTACAGAAGTCCAGTAGTAACTAGATTCCACTAAGGTCAGAGTCCTTGATATACCATGATGAGTGCCTGCAGTATTTGCATGACATTTTTCTAGCACTTTCTTCTTCTCCTCATCTGAAAAAATTACCAAGCGCATTTGTTTTCTGTCTTTTCCTACATAGAATAACTTATTTTCTGGAAGAAAACAAAACAAAAACATTATGTTAATACTAAGAATTCTCTGGCTGTTTTGTCAATTGAATTATTTGGCATGCTTAGTTATAGGTTTTAATCAAACTGATTTTACCCATCCTTTTCAGTTGTGTACAGGTCTGTATTAAATATTTTACAAAGGAATATCTGGTCTCTCCCAGCACAAAAGAAACCACATTCCCTCATATACACTCTCTGAAGTACAATCTGTTGTTATTTTAGATGAAGCACATTGCTTGTCTGCTACAACTACTTCACCAACTGGTTTGTAACACCACTTCCTCTCTACCCTTCCCTTCTCAGAGTACTATTTCCAGAGGTAGGATAGGAAGAGCAGGCATAAGCACAAGAACAGAGCTGTGTAATAGAACAGGGAGGAACTCTGAGATCAAGGAAATGCAGCACGTGGCAAAGCTATCTCTGGATTTTACTCTACTCTCATATATACTCTTCATGTGATACACTAAATGTTCCTTGTCTAGAACTGAAGATCAGGATTCATCTTTTAGGTTCCTATGACTCATGGCCCCTAACTACTGCAGGTTTCACCAGGAAATAAAGTAGACTTGAATTGTTTCTTTAAATATAACTTAACCAGGTGAAAAAAGAGGCCAAATTGGATCGTGCCAACTATTTCTACACACCAACAAAGATAGACATGAGAGCATGCAATTATAAAGCAAGTACAAGGAAATCTGGTGGCAAGCACAGCCTTACTGTATTCTGACAGCAAAAAAAAAAACAAAACGCATTTGCCAAAATGGTAAGAGTATTTTTTTTTTACCTTTGAAAACAAATTTTTTGGCTGCTCTTCTTATTCCACTTCTTTCACTCGATAGTGTTGTTGGATGATACTCTCCTGTTCGTTTGTAATGTGAAATCTGTTTCAGATGGAGACCACCATTCTTCCCACTACGGACCATTTTTTATCTAAGTAAAACAGATAAATACTTTCAAATTTATTTGCTGTGACTTTCTCTCCAAGGAGACTAGATCCCTCCCAACCCCAGTATTCCCTTCTGCGTGAACATCAAGAGATAAAGTCAAACCATAAGAGCCTCAGTTAAGCTCCCTCTCTTGGACATGCACAAGGCTGTTGCATTTCAGTTTTACCTACTGGAGCCACGGGGCTTTTTTTCTTTGATCTTTCCCGAGTGTGAGTGAAGACTAGACATTTTATCTGGCACTGGGTTTCTAGACATACTCCCCAGTGCAGATTCTAATTCTAACACCCCGCATTGAGAGTTGTAACACCCACTCCCCAGTCCAACTGCTTAGACTATGAGATTAGTGTGAATCTCCCAGATTGCCCAGTTGATTTCTCAGAGTTCCAACTCTGAAGGCCCTCTTTTTACAGTTTACCTCTTCATGAACATGGTCCAAGTCCCCTCTCTGAAACACTGCTCTCTGGTTGTTTCTTGTGCCCTAGCTTCGTTTGTCCAGTTGGACCACCCAATCTCTGTGGTTTATAAAGAAGCTGGAGTTTTAAAGAAGTTGGAGAATCCAGGTTTTAGCTAAGATGCAGTTTGCTCTGCTCAGGCCAATTTTTATTTAGATGCTGCCTCATCACAGATGTGCCTTCACACCATCCCCCTGTCCCTCAACAAGAGGAATACAAAATAAAGATACAGGAAATTAAAAAAAAAAATTAAAACAGTATTCACAAGGTATATATGTTTCCCAAATTATCAGGACATGAAAAGTCACCTATCCTAACTAATATACTTAAGGATACCCTCCAGATTAAGTTTACACTTTCTAACTAAAATCTTTTTTTCTCAGCAATTTTATCACCTATAAATTTCTGGCCGTTTCTGACCACTTTGCTCCATTGTACTGGTCACTACATTCCACTATTTTTTTACCTAATCTGCACAAAATCTATCACATCATTTTGTTGATTCCTTTACCCATGCATAATGTTGTTTTGTAAATTTTATTTTTAAAATTCCATACAATGGGGCTTCCAACACATCACTTGTAGATAAACTGAAGCCACCGAGAGAGATTTCTATTTGATTTTTAAAGACCTGGATGGCTCAAATACAAGGGTTTTGCTGTCTGTTCTAAGCATTTATACAGACAGCCTCCTTCTTGAAGGAGGAGGGAAAAATAGACAAACAGGCAAAAGTAACTCCTCAAACAGACTGCCATGAAAGCTTGTTTTGCTCACTAATCTGCTAGGCAAACGGGATTCTGAAATCCCAAGTCAGACTGCGCTTCAGGCAACAATTACTTTCCGACACGGGCTGATTTTCCTCTGTTCATGAAAACTGAAATGCCATTAGTAAAATGCATCATTTGTGCAAGAAAAAAACAAAAGCATAAGGCTGATCCAGTAGCAATAAATAAGTCCTCAAAATACCACAGTTTGATCCTACTCCCACTATTTCATTTGGAACAAAATGAAGCCCTGACATTGGTGTGCCACATATATCATTCCTTACTACAGGTAGGTCATTAGTTTTGATACATAAGCAATTTTCCCCTTTTACCTTTGTACTGAGTCACAAGACTAGACTTCATGACCATACATAATATGACAGATAGTCTTAATGTTTATACCATCACAGATGATTAAGAAAAACTGACACCAGCCGGTTATTTTGGAAGGGGTAGACTGTACCTTGCATTTTTCACTATGAGACTGCTGCCATTTCAACATTAAAACATTATGCCAGTGAATTTTGTTTTTCAGTTTGCCGACTCTTTAGGTGAGGATGTAAATACATCCTCACCTAAAGTTCAGGTGAGGATGTAAATACATAAATATATTGAGCAATTGATACTGCATGTTTGCTGTCAACTTGATTCCATTAATATCAATAATGTGTACCAAGGCTACATGTTGCTGTGGCATCCCACTTTCCTTAAACAAAAGCATCTGTTGTAACGTTTGGAAAAGTGATGTAGAAGACTGTATGATAAAAATGTGTTTTAATTCAGAAAGAGGTCTCAATCCAGAAGACACTTGAGTATGTGCTTAAATGTTTTGTTAGTTTCAGACCTAGAAGGAAAAGCCAAATAAGGTTTACTTCGTAACCATCTGGATTGTTCTTCATCCCTTTCCAATTCTTCCCTCCTTGCCATTTCCTCTTGTTCACAGCAAATTGGGGCATTCTCTGTTTTTATTATAAGCCACGTTATTACAGAAGACCATGCAGTTACTTGTCCTTCATGGTCATCTGAATACCGAATGCTAAGATAACACTTTACTTGATGGCTATGAAGTTCAGTACCTCTGAAGCAGATTGTTTTGCAGAAATGGAAAGAGTAAGGACAAGAGACTGAAATCCCCATATAACCAGAACTCTATCTGCACTAGTTTCTTCTATGGAACAATGGCACCTGCTGATTTTTTATGTTGTTTCTCTTGTCAGTGCTCATCAGCCCTGAGCACCTGCACAGTCTCATTCTCAACTGCACACCCCATCTCAGGCCACATTCTGCCACCATTACTCAGCTTTCTCTGCCATTCTCCATCACCCAGCCTACAGGACCTCAGAGTCATTTAACATCACAGAGGCTCCATGTATTTCGTTATAAAACAGGCAAAACTGTATGTCCTTCCTCCTAGGATAATGGCAAGTGATGCAAGGCAGTCAGAGATCACTATTGTATGGCTACACTGCTGGGATTCACAGGAGCTTGTCACTCTCTGTGCCATCCTTGAGCGCTCTGTGGGCTCAAGGATGGCACGTTCCATGCAGATACTTGGAGTCCCAGTTCCAGAATGGGTCTCCCTTGTGTAAGATGCTGCCGCCCTGAGGGCATCATCCTACCAATGTCATCTTAGGTAGAAACAGAATTTGCATGTATGCCGCCATAAAGATTCGTATGGTGGCACAACTGGGAAGCAAATAGCCCTACCCTTTGTTGCACCATACCAGTGTCTCTGACAAAAGGTGGTAATAAATTGTGTGGCTTTACTGTAGCAGACATCTGTTTGCTCTGCTGTGGGAAAGTACAGGCAGCCCCAAGCTGCTCACCCACCCCAGCTGTCCTGGGCAGGTGCTCCAGGGTCTTGAGGGGTCTGATCCTGGGCACCTCAGGTAGGACTGGGCACTTCAATTCCCCATAGCACTTGTCTGGCTTTCCCCACTTTCAGAGAAAGACAGTGTCCTGGGGCACCTCTCTGTAGGTGGGGGACTCCCGACATCCTGGCAAAGGCAGTGTTTTCCCCCTATTGAAGAGGCACCTTGGGGAGGGGAGGGAATCTCCTTGAAGAGTAAAATTCAGTAGCCCCCTCTCAGAGACGTGTCCCAAGACTCCCTTGGAGTATGCATTTGTATATGTGGGAATGCCAGGCATATGCTCCAGGGGCTTGACCTGTCCCATCCTACCCCAGGGTGCCCAGGAGCAGCCACCTGGGGCAGCAGGGCCGTGCCTTGGCACGTGACAGTGGAGGAGGCGGCAGCCCTGGGGCACAGAGACATGTTACCTGTTGTCCTACCTAGGGCCCCACCTAATGCAGCACAAAGGTAGACAGATGCCTCCCGCTTAAAGCGTTTCAGCTGTGGCAGGGCTGGGCGGGGCTTGGCACATCTGTCTGCCCCCTGCCCCGGCCCTGCCTGAAGGACTCCGGCTCCCGGCATGCACCGCCCCATAGCCGGGGTCACTCTGACACTGGCGCGAGGGTGGGTGGAGTGTGTGCAGGGACCCCCGCCCTCACGGGCGGCGCAATGTACGCCGGGAGCTGTAGTCCCTGCCCCCTCCGGCTCCGAAGTCCAGCACATGCGCACAACCACCCCGGCGCGATTCATTTTATTTCTTCCCCCACCCTTCTCTCCCGCCCCACCCCACTCCTGCATCGTAAAGGAGCCGGGCGTCGCGCCTCGAGGTCCCGGGCTGTAGCGCGGGGCCGCCAGGACCCCAGTCACGCACCTGGCCCAGCGGAGGTATCGCGATACTTTGTCTCGCGCAGCGGAGACTTGTGTGTAATTTTTTCTTTCTTTTATTTTTGCCCCCAGTGTCCTGAAGCTCCGCGCCTGCGACTTATGTGGCGCTGCCGGAAGTGACGGAAAGGGGGCGGGGCCGCCCGGCCTGGTTCGGAGTGGGGCCGCGAGGAGGGGGCGGGGCCAAAGCGTGGGGCGGGTGCGGGAAGCGGCGGCGGCTACTACTTCTCAATGGGACCTAGCGCTGGCGACATGGGCAGGTGAGGTGGGTCCGCACGCGCCTCCTCCCCCCACGGGGTTGGGCTCGTCCCTTCGCGCCGCCTGGCCCGGCGGGGCACTACCATCGTGGGGGCCCAGCGGCTCTTCAGCGTGTGCAGTGGAACGTTCCCTTTCCCCTCCCACCCCCCGCGGCGCTGCGGTGGGTCCGCCCGGGAGCGCGCCGCATCCCCAGGGGGGAGCCTCCAAAGACCTGGAGCGGCTCCGTATAGACGGGGGTCCCGGCCTGGGGGTGATGCCGTCTGCGCACGTGCTCAAGGTGGGGAGGCACGTGCTGCTGACGACTGGGAATAAGTTGGGTGGGAAACTGGGATCGGTTTTATTTCGTTTTTATTTTTTTTTATTGTAATGTAGCTCTATCTTATATATAGATATATTTTACAGATATAAATTGCCCGATTATAAAATACACATAAGATTCTATATTCATTGTTCATTCACTGTGTATTTAAATGTATAATTTGACATGTTACATAAATACATATATAACCAAGCATACATTTATTTAAGGGGGGGAGGAAAAAATGACTGGGGAGCACCGGAGACTTCTGAAGAACGTAAATGCAGACAAGGAAGGAAAACGGCTGCTTAAGGGGTGTCTTGTGCATGGAGATGGAGTTAAAGCGGGGACCTGGAGATGTTTCAAGCTTTGATTCCTTTGCCAGCTATGGATTAATGCCCTCCGGGGCATGGTGGAACCGGGGAAGTGAGGCAGGGCGAGATGAGAGGGATTATGCTCCTCTTGGCTCAAGTCACTCAGCAAGGCTTAATGGGTTTTTCCAGTTAGGAAAAAAGAAATGGCATCGGTACCCAGCTCTACCTGCGGTTTTACTTGAACAGAGCAGGGTGCGAATTGCCTTCAATGGGTTTCCCTATTCGCCCCTCCAAACCTGTCCAGCCAGCATCTCAACCCCAAAAATCGACTCTAGGTGTTTCTTACAGCTGCCTGACTCTCTACTCTTGTCTCCTCTGCCTGAGCTGGCTTTTCATCCACTTATGCAAGTATCTTTATCAAAACAATATCTAGCTGTGCCCCAGCTGCCCAAGCATTTGAATTTCTGAGCAACTTGGCATTTGCTTTTGCTTCTGATGGAAGCAGCCTTGCTTATCTGTTTCTCGCAGCTTCCTTAAGTGAAGGGCAATAGCAAAACCTGCTAGTTTCAGCAATCTTTATTTCAACCCATCGCAGTACTACTGCTTACATCCATACTGGATTAATGCATACATTAACTGCTTAACACGCCACTGGTCCCAACTTGTTCCTTTTTGCCTACACTCTAACAAACACTGAGTATTTGCATGTCGGTGAAAAGCGTAAAATGCATGGCATCTTTCAGCCCCACTGTTCCCTTAAAATTAACTGAACTTGGGCTAACTGGTATACTAAATTTAAGTAATTCAACTCTTCTTTAATTGCAAAAGAAAAAAAAGCAGTTGTCAAACAGCTGTTAGTCAGTTTTTAAGCTTCTCCCTCAACTTTTGGAAACATATCGGGGTTAAAACTATAATGATAGTTGGAATCTGAAAAATGAGAGGAGCTAATCGGTTTGAGGGCTGCTAGTACCAGAGCACAAGGAGTGCAGTAAGCAGTCCCATTTTAAACAGGCATTACTGTCCTATTAGCTCTGAAAATGACTAGCAGCACCTGTCACTTTCAAGGTTTCTTATAGAGCTCCCAAATTAACTTGTAGATGCCTTGAAAATGAGGAAGCGCTTGTCATTTTTCAGTGTGTTAATAACACAGCATTGATACCATTGTGTTTGAGCCTTCTTTACATTTAATCTTGGATAAGTGCACATTTCAGGTAAGCACTTAAATAGAATACGCTATATTGGCAGGAATATGTAGTTATATAATATAGTACTTTTTCCATGCTGAACTTCTGAATCAATGATCAATATGAAATATTGTCTGTACACTCACTAACTTATCTTGTGCAGCAGTTTCTTGTGCAGTTGGCTGTCAGAACCAGAATGGATCAGGACTCCTGATCTTTAACTCCCTGCTTTCACTGTAGTGAAACTTTGATTAAAAAATTGTATATGGAAGGACAGTCTTTCCCATTCTAATGTGATTTTTAATATGAACAAAGCTCATTTGTATTGTGGAAAAGCTGAGCTCATTTGTTTTGTGGAAAAACTGATTTCTGCTTTTGGTCTTTATATCCTCTTAAAAGCAGTAGTTTCTTCTGAGAAGTTCAAACTTGTGTGCATGGCCTTCTTCCTTTTTATTGTACATGTGACACTTTTTGACAGGATTGAGTTTAGAAATACAAGTGAAGGTTATCTGCACTATGAATATGCAGCAGACATCTGCAGTGTGTGCCAGACATCAGCTTTACCCGATCATTTGCCAGCATATGTGCTACTATCTTGAAGGGAAGACAGTGATATTGACCAGGCTGCTTTTCAGACTTGAAAGCAGTTATGGCACCAGTGCACATATTCCAAGAAAATATCCTGCTTGGCAGCAGTTTACCAAAACTGCTACAGTCTGTGATGATTTAAAAAAATTATTAATTCTTTGAATATGGTCCTTTTAATCGAGAAATAATGGGAAAAATTTTGGGATACAGCCCTGAAAGCAGTATCCCAGGCATCTGTGTGTGGTTCCTGGCTTTGCAGACAACCTTTCTATCCAAAAATCCTTTCGCTACTTACGCACAAAGCACCTTTATAAAAACAAATCTGAAAATACCTTACAACTTGGTCCTGAAACTACCTTACAACCTGGTACAGATGAAAATCAAGGAAGGGATACAGTGGTGCTATTTTGGCATCTTCTCGGAAATGATACAGAAGATTAATTAAGTTAATGATTCTAGAAAGAAGACCATGTCCTACACTTTAAGGATGGCAAAAATCCCTATACTTCTTACCAGTTAGACCTAACAGATACGAAGTAAGGAATTTTTCTCTTGAACAGTTTGATCTTCTTTGGAAGTATAAGACCCTCCACCCACATTTCTTTTTCTTCCCTGAAGCATGAGGTTAATGTCTTAGAATCACAGAAAAGTAGGGGTGGAAGAGACTCTGAGGTAGGATCACCCCTATCCAAACCATCCTATACAAATCCACTGTCTAACCTATTAGCAAAGCTGTAGTCGGCCCTGACCACAAGACATGACATAGCCTAATTTTCCACAAGTAAAGGCGGCATGGGAACCATTGTGGTTAACATCCTACTATTGTGAAGGTTGTTAAAAGGCACTTGAGTGATCTGAAGAAGAGGGGCATGATCAGGAGATCTGAAGAAGAATGCAATAACCCCTGTAGTCTGTACCAATCTGACCATGAGGCAGAATTCCTTCCTGAATCCAAATGTGGTGATTGGTCTCACCCTGGATGGAGGGTTTAAGTCCCAACGCAAGCCTTGGCACACCCCAGTCAAAATCCCCAGCCTTGGCTGCAGACACTACCCAGTGCTGAGGAAGTGGGGGGCAACAGGAGAGAGGTAAAAAAATTCCTTCTCAGTCCCATGTGGCAATGGGGAAAGCCCAGAAACTTGGGAAATGCCCATAGTAGAATGTAGACATAGCTACTACTAGATCAAGGGTGGGCAGTTATTTGGCCCTGGGAGCCACATAGGGAGTTTTAATGAGCTGTTGCAAGCTGGGTCAGCACCCCTCCCTGCACCATATTTCACCAAAATTCCCTATATGGGGTGGGTGAGAAAGTGGGGAGAGGTGTTCAGAAACAGGACAGGTGATCCATAGGGGGGGGCGTGTTTCCTGGGCACTTATGGTGGAGGCAATGAAGTGGAAGGAGATGCATGATACAAATCTGCCTACGAGTGTGCTTTAGGTTTCCTTTATTTTTCCTTGAACAACTGCATCCCTGGCTACAAATGTGAAGCTAGTATAAGTAGTAAATGTAGGGCTGAAAAAATATTCATCTCTTTTCTGGTATAACCAAGGAGGCAAAATTGTGGGAGTCTTACACAGTATAATGACTAAGACGCAAGTAAGATCTTTAGACCAGTCTGTCTTGATTAGAATATGGTGACATGATACCAGATAGTTCTGTAAGGAAAACTTAATTCTTAGCATCGAAAGCATAAGACTTGGTTATAAATATTTGCATGTACATGGTATGCACTGTGGTTTTGTATCCCATGTGTACATAATAACTTCCTAAAATTGAAGTAGCACCACGGTATTAAGCCATTGAATGCACTCAACAAGTTACCAACCTAAGTTTACAAATATATAAAAGTTTACCAATACTTTGCTATAAAAATACTGTCCTTCTCTCATACACTCTTGTTATATATATTACCCCTTCCATATTACCACTGTCAGCTTCAATGTTTATTTTTATGCTTACAGATATACCTTGCTTTGTTCTCTCTCATATATAAAAAATAATATGGAATTGACCTCCTTAATCTACCTTGTATGATTGTCTTTTCCATTCCTTAAGATCCACCTCTGCAGTGGTGCCTGAGAGCGATCAGTCAGAGAGCAGTAGTTAGCTGCGTTAATCCAAAGTCAGGCAGAAGGCAGGATGTATAAGCACCCAGATCAGAGGTGCATATAGCATAAGCTTTTGTGAGCCCAAAATCAGCTCATTTGCTGTGAAAGGACATGCATGATCAAATTCTTTAATAAAAATACTTTAACATCATGCTCAAAGGAACATCAGTGTCGTAAACTCTTCACCTGCCCTTTCTTTTTAAAAAAGTTGTTCTTTGTGGCAAGGATTATATTCTCCCTTTATTTGAAAAAGCCCTACTACATTTTAATTACTCTTGAAATCTGAATAAATACAAACAATAAATATAGCTGTTGAACAAGTTTGAGGGCATCAGGTGCCCCTCTCTGCCCTCCTTTGTG